CCCGCCCTCACGGTTCCTTCACATCCTTGCTCTAAAGCCCCCTTCTCAGGGATGCCTTCCCCGATGACCGCATCTTCAAGGGCAAACCCAACGCTGGCCTGCCCGATCCCCCTCCCTTACTTAATATTCCTCCCAGAAGTACCAGATGCATGTTTTACTCTCTTGGCATGTTGCATATTTTCCTTGTTTATTTATTTATTTTCTGATCCCCTTGGTAGAAGGGAAGCACCGACAGGGCAGGGATTTCTGTCGGTTCTGTGGGCTCTCGGGACACCCAGAACAGGGCTTGCCTCACAGTAGCCGCTTAATTAGTGTTTGTGGCCTCAGTGAGGGCAGGTTAGGGATGGCTATTAGCTTGGTTTAGTTGGTTTGGGATCTCCCAAGGGAGAAAACAAAAGGCTGAGCCAAGGAGCAGGCACTCAACAGAACGCCGCCGTATCTCCCTCTCTCTCTTTCTTTTTCTCATCCTTTCTCAATTTCTCTTTCTCTCTCTCCCTCCCCCACCCTCCTTCTTTTCTCTTTCTCCAACACACATATGCATCTGGTTTTACCTGTGTGATTCAGCTGCAGCTCCGCTAAGTCCCACTGGAAGAAAAGAAAAGAAAAGAAAAGAGACCAGAGGTCTTGAGTGTTCCCGAGGGAAGAGCTCTCTTTCCTCCACCCATCCTTCTATCCACCCGTCATCCCCCCGGACTGAGTTGGGACCTTTGTGGAGAACTCTTAAAGAGAAAGTAGGTTTGAACTGGCCGTGAGCATGAAGAGAAGACCTTCTGAAGAACTTCTTAGTTTCCAGGATATAACACAGGGCGCCTCGGCACACCTGCCTCTCTCCCCTGCAAAGCTCTCCCCCCGCCCTTAATGCAGGCCCCAAAGCAGGACCCTGTGGTAGGTGTCCAGGGCTCCTCCTGTCCTTGGAGGTCCCGGAACCGCCCCTTCCCAGCTTCGAGAAGCCCCCAGCAGCCTCTGAGTCAGCCTGCTGGGGGAACACCAAAGACGAGTCATTTTCCAGGCCCCCATATGGTACGTATCTTCCTCCACCCCGGGATCTCCACCCGGGATTTACCTCCTGGTGTCGGCAGAACTGACTATCCTGAGCCCGAGACCCCCGGGGGCAGCCTTGCCCCCGCCTCCCCTCCCTGCTCTGGTCTCTCTCGCTCTGTTCTTTTCCACCAGATCTTTCTTCCTGGCAGTTGTTTTTTTCTATTGTTTGGCCACGCCACGTGCTATGCGGGCTATTAATTCCCCAGACCAGGGATCGAACCCCGCGCCCCCCTGCGCTGGAAGCGAGGGGCGTTAACCACTGGACGGTCAGGGAAGTCCCCCTGGCAGGTTTTTATTCATCTCATTCTGATCTTTTTGTTTTCTTTTTCTTTTTTGGTCACGAGTCTGTTAGTCTGCGCTCTAGCTCGCCATCCCTCTGCCCTGAGCTGATTCTTTCCTCGGTGGCTTACCTGCCCTCGGCGCTGCACCCCTCCCCAGGGCCCGGCCCCAGCAGGATGTCCCCATGCTCCTGCGCTTGCAGAAAGCAGATGTACGTCTGTCTCCCTCATCCTCCCTTCTGGACTTACCCCAGTTGAATCCAGCTGCTGCTTTCGGGTGAGGCGCACACTGCAGATGAGGCAGCCCATCACCGTGCCAAGGAGAAGCAGCAGCAAAGCCACCCACCAGATGGACACCCAGGGCCGGTGGGGCACCTGGCAGCCTGAGGCCTCCGCTGCTATCATGACCCTCTGCAAGCACGTCATCAGCTGTGTGGCAGGGTGGAGGGTGTGTAGAGGCAGGAAGAGGGAAGGAACCTCAGCTCTCATGCAGCTATGGGGCCGTCTCTGCCTGCCTGAACTTGCCAGGGACCAACCGTGCCCCACCCTGGGGATGTCCGGCAAAGGGAGGGACCAGACTCAGTTCTACAGTGCAGGGAATTCCCCTCCAGCTTCTGCCGGTCCCCAGTCTGCAGACTAGGTGGACCAGGGTGCCCCTCAATTTTTCTATTGGACTTCCCACACTCACCTTCCTGGTACTCATCCAACAAACCTTCATTGAACATCCACTATGGACCAGATGCTCTGCTGGGCCTCAGGGCTACAGCCACAGCACCCAGGGATGGAGGAGGGGGTCCCCAAATACCCATGTGTTCCTCTCCATCTTCCTAGCCTCCCTGACGCCCCCGTGGTGGGACCACCCCTGATGCGGTCACATGACTGACCTGCCTAATAGGAAGAGAGTATAAGCTGACCAAGGGTCACTTCCGTAGCCTGATCTTGTAAACATGCCACACTGCCTTTCAATTCTCTTGCCCTGTGGTCTTGGAGGACACCCGTTCTTGATGACTGTAGTGGCTTGACTATGTCGCCCCCAAGTTCATGTCCAGCCAGAACTTTAGCACGTGACCTCATCTGGCAACAGGGTCTTTGCAGAAGGAAGGATGAGGGTGGACCCTACATCCCACGATGTCTTCATAGGAAAAGGAGAGGACACACAGAGACACAGAGGAAAGTCGGAGGTAGACATTGGAGTGATGCAAAATACACCAAAGAACCCCAAGGATTGCCGGCAAACCCCAGAAGCCAGAAAGAGGCAAAGAAGGACTCTCCCCTAAAGCCTTTGAAAGGAGCGCAGCCCTTCGGACACCTTGATTTCAGATCTCTGGCCTCCAGAATGGTGAAAGAGTAAATTTCTGTTGTTTCAAGCCACTAGTGGGTGGTGCTCTGTTATGGCAGCCTCAGGAAACGAGTAACAACGGCGTAGCTACAAGATGAAGAGACACTACCTGGGCTTTGTAGGGTTGGGACAGTACTTTGTTAGTATCAGTGAACAAGACACTCAGCTGTCACAGACTGTATGTGCCAAGTACAGGTGGCTGTGGCCTAAGAAGCTTTACTTGTAGACACTGAGACTTGAAAATTTCATTCCAGAGTGAGGAGTTACAGTGGCCTGGCCTGGGCTGGGAGTGGGGTGGGGGAGAGAAGGAGGAGGTGAATAGGAGGTGAATAGATGTCAGAGCTGGAGCCAGCAGCCTTTGCTGGTGTGGGAGGGCAGGTAGAAGAAAGAGGGGAGACAAAAGTGTCCAGAATTCCTGGGATCCAGGTGATCGTATACGCCCTGAGACGCCCAAGTACAAAAGGAATTTCCTTTATGAAAACCCTAGGATCCCAGGCCTGAGGGTTTAGGCAGCAGCACCCTCAAAGGGACATTAAGCTCTCCTGAGCCTGGGGGCGTGATCCTCGGAACTGTCCCTGACCTTCTTTCATACTGTATGAAACCCCCGCTGGGCTCTAAAGTCTAGCTCTGCTGGCTAACTCCATCTGCAAGACCTTCCAATCCATGTCTTGTCATGGTCCCCACTCTGGACCTTTGATGGTTCTTTGCAGCCCACCTGGTGTCCTTTCCCTACCTCCATCTAGCTGAAAGCCATTCACAGTCAAAAATAATTGCTACCGAGCATGGTTAAGTATGTAGAATCTGGAGTTTCTCAACACACCTGGATCCCAATCTCTGGAATGTCACATTTTAGCCTTTGGGAAACTCACACTCCCATCAGCTTAAGTTCAATGTTTCCATCTATAAAATGGGCTGTGAAATACAACAAACTGGTGAATATAACATAAAAAATGCAGAGTCACAGATAGAACAAACTGGTGGTTACCAGTGTGTGTGTGGACAATATAGGAGTGGGGGAGTGAGAGGTTCAAACTACTGGCTGTAAGACAGTTTCAAGCATGTACCGTACAACACGGGGAATGTAGCTGATATTTTGTAATAATTGCAAATGGAAAGCAACCTTTAAAAATTGTATTAAAATAAAAAATTTAAATAATAATAAAATGGGCTGTGATGAGATTTTAAGGAGAGACACATGCAAGGCCCTCAGCATAGCAGACACACAGCAAGTGGTCGATAAAGGCTAGCTTTTAATGTTGCTATATCCCTCCAGGAAATGTTCATTAGAACAATGGGAATGGGTACAAGCAGACAATTCACAAAGAAGTTCAGGTGGCTGATCAACACAGAAGGATGACGCCAGCCCTCTTGGCAATAAAGTGCAAATTCCCTCACTTTCACAAGGGAGGTTAAAATATGGCTAAACCCAAAGTAAATTCCAGCTGATCACAGATTTAAGTGAAAAAAAAAAAGAAAACAACAAAAAAAAGAAGCCATGAAAGTGAAACAGAGCAGGGCCCTGTGGTCCTTCCTCCCGACGTCCTCCGCCTGCCTTTTGTCTGTAGAAAAATTTCAGCCAAAGAATAAGTTTAATCAGGGAAGGGAGAAAATGCAGAAACAAAGGAAAACAGCCCAATAAGACTAAATAATAATTGTTTAGTCATTAAGCAAAGTCAAGGACCTTTTAGTTCCTTCTCGAGGGCTCTAGATAATATTCTGAGCCCTATCCTGTGAGCTGTCTTATAGATACTGAAACCCTCGCCAGGTGGAGACGTTAACTGCATGATGACCAGACTGTACCCATGACATAAGTTGCCACAATTCCAGTAATTGGTCTTAAGGAAATGGGAACAAACCAACCCTGGAACTGAAGACTTGAACTGTACTTGAAACAATCAAGATGATGCTGGTCAGACCACCGCTGACCAATTTCAAAATGACTGTTTCTGCATGTAGCCCCCTCCCCCATGTATAAAAGCTCTTGCCCACTGATTATGGGGGGCGGAGAGTTGGCCTTTGGACAGGAGTCCGCCCTCTGCCCCCCCCCCCCGCCATCCCCCACCTCCGTTGCCGGCATCTGAAATAAAGCAAACTTTCCAACGACCTTGCCTCTTTATTGGCTTTTGAACAGTGAACAGCCAGACCCCACTTTCAGTTATGAAAGTACTGAAAGTATGATACATTCATAAGAATCCATCTGGGTGCAGTGCAGACTTTTTAAGTATGTTAGAAAAAAACGAAGAAGACAGAAAAGAGAATGTTGCTAAGTTTCACATATAAATTAACAATGTCTACATTAAAAATACCTTCCAGGTTAAAGGCGCGCGCGCACACACACACACACACACACACAAGCACCAAGACAGAAAAAAGAAAGGTTTGCAAGGCCCAAAATAGACAAAACTGTTCTCCTAAGATACATAACTCAGAAGTTAAGTCATTAAGAAGTGACTAATACTTTCTAGAAAATGAAATGAATATGAAGTCAGGTTCTAAAAAGATACACGATCGAATGTGAAAGGCGATATTCTCTCTGTTCTGAACAAGATAACCAAAAATTAAAAGCACACGGAATACACCTTTTCTTTTGCACCTATCGTAATTTGGTAAATGATCAGAGCGTTGGTTGAATCTGAAGATTCAGTGTTGCAAGCCTGTAGGTGAAAAGCAACCCTAATACCCGGATGCTGGGATTTGAAATGGATCCAGCCTTTTGAAAGGACAGTTTGGCAAATCCATCAAGATCCCAAAATGCACCTCCCCTAATGTCCATCAGTTTCACTTCAAGGATTTCATTTCGTAAGCATGCTCGCACGCACGTGTCACAAACAGAGATGTACACACACAAATTCGGTGTGGCACCTGTCGTGGTAACAAAGAAACAGAAAGCAATCCAAAGAGGGCTTATTCCCATGCTAAGAACTCGGCAGGTATCACCTTTTGGAACCTTCACCTGAGCCCTAGGAACTGGGTGATGCTCTGATTCCCATTTTCCACCGAAAGCAGGCTCAGAGACATATCAGTTTAATTCACACAGCAAAGAACTTGAAGGCAGGAAGTGCCTGGCTTTCATTGCACATTTGCATCCCTTGCCTGGGTTTTCCCACTGCTCTGGATTACTGGGCTGGGGACACTGCGGGGGCTCCATCGATCGATTGCTCTCTAGATGATGCAGTTCTGCTTGGGGTGGTTTGCTGGTGTTTAAGGAAGTATCTTAGCCACCTGTTTCCCCTACTCTATCCCTGTCCCCTTCTCCATCCTATGAACTGATCTTGGGTGAGCTCCACCTGCAGCAGCTTGAAGCAGGATTTTGGTTCTCGGTCAGAGATTGAAGTCAGGCTGCGGCAGTGAGAGCGCTGAATCCTATCCACCAGACCACCAGGGACCAGTGGCCAGCGACAAGGCCCTGGCCCATCAGCTGTGTAGAAAGGAATTGCCACAAAGAGATGGAAAGCAGTGAAACAAGTAAAGTGTTTATTAGGAGGAAATAAAGAGTAGGTGTGGAAAGACACACAGGCGGGTTCAGAGAGAGAGTTGCACCCACGTGGTAGTTTTTTTTTTTTTTTTTTTTTTTTTT